ATCTGCATGGGGGCCACGACTACTGATATCCAACACGACTCGGTCGGCAGGCTGACCGACACCATCAGCAGCAGTCACTGTGACCCGACCACACATGAATTCAATATACACGCTCACAAGAACATCAGGGACAGCATCGGCAGCATCAACCATCCAGAGTCAATGCACGACCACGCTGTGGATCCTCATCGCAACGACCGCCTCGAGCACGACCAGATCATGCACTACTCCAGAGAATCTTTACGCAACAATTTTGGTGAGACAGTTGCTGACCGCACCCCGCCTTCATCATGATGGCCAACCAGACGTTGCGGGCACGCTTCGTCATCCGCCAGCTGTGCAGCATCTCCGCATACTCTGTGGCTCAGGACCGCATAGATTTGCCCACCTCGTACTACGCCCGACGTGACTGCGAGGATACCTACAGCTACGTCAAGGTCGACCTGTGCTACACACCGACGGGAGCACCAGTACCGTTTTCGATTTCATCTTTCCAGAAGGACACTGCCAAGGACATGATCTACTACATGATGAATCCCTACGCACTCCAGTGCCATTGCAGCAACGGCCCAACCGACCACACAGCAAAACCGACGGACCAATGGCCCGACGATCACGACCTACTACCAGGCCCCAGAAACGGCCCCAGCTCCAAGGTAACGCGACAGGCCAGCAGAGCTCCAGCAATGATGCACAAGCGCAGCCCCAAGCATACCACTACCAACAGCACGGAATCACCATGTCAGACAGCCACAGCAACCATTGCATGCTGCGGATTGCCGACCTTTTCACGCGTGGACTCGTCCTCCCGTTCGACAGCAGGGTGATCGACCAGCATTACGGCATCTGCTATTGGGACAGCACAACGTCCTGATATCCCCGCACGAAGACATGCCACGGCCACGACCCCCCACAAACCAAATCATGATAATGGACAACCATGCTCCCAGTAGCGGGGTCTACATTTTTGAAGCGAGTTAGCCAGTACAGCGCTCCGACACTGCGCCCATTGATGAGGACGACTACCCTGGCTACGACAACATGGACTACACCAAGGCGGAAACTGACGTCCCGACCAGCACAGCCAGCGAACGCAACCGACTCAAGCACAGCGGAAACGCATCGGAAGCGGAGAACCCCACATCCAGCACGCTGTCAGCGTGATCTGTGACAATGCGACGTCCATCCCAGTGTGTGCTCTATCCCACTTCTGAATGGAGCAGCACCGCTTACCCCCTCTTCTCCCGACAACCCAACGGCTAAGAGGCGAACGCCACCCTCATGCCGACGCGGGGCCTGCCATGCAGAGGCCCGTCGTTGCGTCACTCTCATCTCTCATGCGCCAACTTTGCCAACAGCGGGCGCAGATTACTACCCGTCCTCGTTCAGGCAGCATTACGCGCAACCAGCTGTCCCCATGCCTACGCCCGAGCTCGGCACTACCGTTTTGCCCAACGACCGCGCGCGCTGTTCCGGCAGCAGCAGCAGCAGCAGCAGCAGCAGCAGCTGGTTCACTTTTCTTTCACACGGCATGCGACAATATCTAACGCCTTTCTCCCATTCGACAGTGGCACAGGCAACGGCGACTGAGATCTCCGCGCGAAGGGCGAAGACAGTGGGTCCATGGTAAGACAGAGCTTCAAAACCCGCCGTGGCTTTCTCACCCACAGGCACAGCTACAACAGGCTATGCTATGCAGCGGGCCCCGCGGTTACACGTTACACAGGGCTACAAACCCGCCGTGGCTTTCTCACCCATACATGCTAATCAACCGATGTGATTTT